CTTACGGGATCTCAGAAGCAGGCCGGCATGTTTTTTTTTTTTTTTTTAAATTGCTTTATAGTTCCTGCTGCAAATTTGTGGCTATTCAGGCGAGGATTAAGGGGTTCCATAGGGGATTGAAGTTCTTGTGGTCATTTCCTTACTCCGTTGCTCAGTCTTAGCTAATTAGAAGGCGGCTTGGAGTTTGCGAACCCCCCCCCCTCCATGAGTGTGTGAGTGTGCATACACACACACACACACAGATACAGACAAGTGCACTGTTAGGCTCCTCTTGGAATGAATGGAACGCACAGCCCATTAGTCATGTTATAGTGAGTCTCAAGACTTTCGTTGCTTTAATTCAATTGCAAAAGCATCTGGCTAAAGTAAAATATTTTACTTTTAATATTTTAGGGGTGGGTGGGTTGAATCTCGATTTATAACCAGTGTGTGCCTGTCCTCTCTATTTAAAGAGTATCTGCTAGACAAAATATCTTATGGGCCCTTCAAGTCTTCAGATTCTGCCCTAGCTTTCCCAGACAATCTGCTCCTGCTTTGATTTTATGGGGATTGAAGGAAGATTCCCTTTCAAAGGCTGGTTGGAAACACCGTCCAGCTTGGGAAAATTTTGCTGAATAAGTTTGGTGAAGGGAAGCAACTCTTGAATGCTGAAATCGGAATGGAGGGTGGGGAGGATGACTGGCTGGGCTGATGGGGACGAGGATAATAATAATAATAGGGGGAAGGAGAAGAAAAAGAGAAGGAGGAGGCGGGGGAAAAAGGAGAATGGAGAGAAGAAGGGGAGGAGGAGAATATTTTTTTCATAATAAAGAAAAGAAGAAGAAAGGGGAAGGGGGAAGAGAGAAGGGGGAAATGGAGGAGAAGGGAGAAGAAGAAGGAGAAGGGAGAAGGGAGAAGGGGAAGGAAGAGAAGTAGGAGAAAGGGGAAGGGAGAAGAGAGAAGGAGAAAGAGGAGGAGAAGGGGGAAGGGGAAGGAGGAGGAGAAGGAGGAGAAGAGAGAAGGGAGAAGGGAGAAGGGGAAAGAGGAGGAGGAGGTGGGTAAAANATTCCCCAGCCAGCGAATGCTGGCTGGGGAATTCTGGGAGTTGAAGTCCAGACATCTTCAAGTTGACAAGGTTGAGAAACACTGCTCTAGAAACAGATAAATTCAGATTCTCCCATCCCTGGATGGGTTTCTATTCTGCAGGCCTGCCACACAGTTAATATATTTCCCCTCCCCCTCTCCCCAGGTGCACCTGGAAGGAGGGCATCCCTCCAGCTGCTCCCAAACTACAGCTCCCATTGGCCTTCCCCCTCCTTGGCTGATGGCCCCTTATGGCAGAGGTTTCTGTATCCCCAGCAAGAAATCTCGCCAGCTTAAGAAAATCTGGCTTCCAACTCTCCAGGCCTTTTTCCATCCTGGAGGGAGGGAGAGAACGGGAGTTGTTAGGAAGAGGCCCACGCTGCCAGAAAAGGTGCCCTGGGATACGCCTGAGATGCTAAAGCACCTAGTTTGCCAGGCGCTTTTGTCAGCCAAATCCCACTTCATTTTCTGGCTTAAGGAGAAGGAGCAGCCGCAGTTGGTTGGTTGGTAGCCGAGCCCGGGGTGGGGGTGCGGGGAAGGGAACCAGAGCCAAACCAAACTGCGCTCTGATCCCCATTCAATCATCCATCTCTCTCAAGGTGCTGAGCGCAGTCACTGACGGAAAATCTTTGCTGGCTCGGCCCAACCAACCGTCCTCCATAGTTGTAGCCAGAGGAAAGGAAACAAACTACACTGGGCCCAAATTAAAGGTTCCCCTCGCACATATGTGCTGGTCGTTCCTGACTCTAGGGGGCGTTGCTCATCTCCGTTTCAAAGCCGAAGAGCCAACGCTCTCCGAAGACGTCTCCGTGGTCATGTGGCCGGCATGACTCAATGCCAAAGGCGCGCGGAACGCTGTGACCTTCCCACCAAAAGTGGCTCCTGTTTTTCTACTTGCATTTTTATATGTGCTTTCGAAACGGCTAGGTTGGCAGAAGCTGGGACAAGGGACGGGATCTCGCTCCATTACGCGGCTAGGGATTCCAACGGCCAAACCTCCGACCCATTTCTGATTGACATGCTTAGTCCCTGAGCTACCAAGTCCCTTTAAAAAACTGCCAAGCCGGAAGGGGTACTGGTATCTTGGCGAGGAAGAAGCTATAAGATAAGAGAATATAGGAGAAGCGCAGAAATTCTATGAAGAATACTGCAAAGGGGAAGAAGAAGAGGAACTAGAAAGTAGAAGTCAAGAGGAAGAAACATCAGGAGACAAGGAAAGAAACAGGAGAGAAGAACAGAGGCAAGAAAGAGAGAGAGAGAGCAGAAAAGGAAGGCGAGAGAGGGAAAAGTCAGATACAAACCAGAAGCAATAAAAAAACTGCCAAGCCAAGGATAAAATTGGGAAATGGCAACAGACAGATGTTGGGCCTTTCCCAGCTACCTTCTTCCTCCCCGCTAGCCCAGTTCCGAAAACACAGTCAGGTTCAGACGGTGAACAAAAGGATGGAAAGAGAGCTACTTCGGAAAGCCTTCGGAAAGGCCTAAGTTTATTTTCCAGCCGCTTGAGGTACGAGATGGAAAGGTACACATGCCGATACTTGATTACTGGCCCTTAATCCAATTTATGAAACAACTTGTTCCTAGGATTCCCCTCTACCTGAAGCCTCGGTTAAACCCCATAGTTGGGCATCGTGCCGAGCTCGATGAACTGCAGAAAAACTGAAGCAAATTTTAAAACAGGAGTCAGGCTGGGCCGGCTCCTTCCTTAAGTAAGTTAAATATTTTTAAAGATTTTCATTTTTAATCCCACGTTTATTTATTTATTTTTTTACAAAGGACTCAAGGGGGTGAGGTGAACCTATCCCACACACCTTCCTCTTCCTATTTTCACCAGCCTGGGAAACAAGTTGGACTGAAAAAGAGGGGGAATGTGTGTTTAGGTGGCCAATCTGATTGGAGAATTTATTTTTTAATTCCTATCTGCATCTCTGTCTCTGTCTCTCTCTCTCTCTCTTCTCTTTCTTTCCTCTCTTCTCTCTCTTTTTTCTCTCTCTCTTGCTTCTCTCTTCTATCCTCTCTTTCTTCTCTCTTTCTTCTCTCCTCTCTTTCTTCTCTCCTCACTCTCTTCTTTCTTTCTTCTCTCTCTCTTTCTTCTCTTTATCCTCTCTTCTCTCTCCTCTCTCCCTCTTCCCCTCTCCTCTCTTTCTTCTCTCTCCTCTCTCTTTCTCCTCTCTTTCTCCTCTCTCTCTCTTCTCTCTCTCCTCTCTCTTTCTTTTCTCTTTCTTCTCTCTCCTCTCTCTCTTTCTTTTCTCTTTCTCCCTCCCTCCCTCAACTTTCCTGAATTTGGAAAAGGGGAGAACTATATATATATTTAAAATGAATGAATCATGCACACCCCACACAGAACTGCAGCAACAAATTTACTTCCCACCACTCTGCAAACACCACCTTTAAAATGGTGAGTTTTGATATGGAAGATTTGCCTGGCTTTCCTATGCCGACAAAAAGCCATCCCAAAAGATTTTGTAAGTAGCTGGCCTTCTTCTTCTTCTCTTTCTCCTTCTCCTCCTCCTTCTTCTTTTTGCAAACTGGTTTTTATTTTGGATTGTTAAATTCCTTTTTCTGCATAAAGCCAGAAGCCACTGGCTATGGTCTAACCCCCCCCACCCTGTAAAAAATTTTTTGGGAGAGGCCCGCCTCTCTAATCTCGACTTGCAGTGTCTGATCCATCCATCCCACAGAGCCATGCGTGGTTTTCCTTCCCCAAAGCTTGGGACTCGAGCCACCAAGGGCTGGGATCACACCTCAGCCTAATCCAGAAACCCCAGTTGCAGAACCAACCACCAAGAGAACGACCAACGGCTCCCACAAACCAAAGGTTGTAACAACAATGAAGTTACTTCGGTCCCTCCGAGGTTGGTGGGGGGACCAAAACCAAAAAGAGGCTGAATCCCGTGGGATGCTACAGATGTAGGAGCAAAGTTCTGATTTGCTGGATGCCCAAATAGCCACCTGCTTTAGGGAGGGGAGAAATCACACACACACACACACACACACACACAGAAACGACAAATACACACACACAAACACACCCACCCACACAGAAACAACAAATACACACACACAAACAGACAAAGACACCAGCGCCTCTTACCTGTGAAGCCAGGACATGCTGTTGAAAATGAAACGGTAAGGCAGCTGCAGCAGCTGCAGCGGAAACCCCACCTAATCCTTGGGCAGCTGCTGTGGCCATCGCCGTGTTGTCTAGGCCGGCCACTCCCGCGGACGCCCCGGAGACGGTGGCCAGCAGAGGCCCCATGCCGGCGGCCATGCCCGAGAACGCTCCCCCCATGGCGAACTGGCTAGGATGGAGCAGAAAAGGGTGCCCGTTGCTCAGGGGGTTGAAGAATTGTTGGCTGGCCAGGCCATGGGGAAAAGTTAGGTTGGAGAGGTGGCTCTGGGCCAGGTGGCCAGGATTGTCCGTCTGGACGGTTAAGGGCGCGAAGGGTTCTTTGTTGAGCATCCTGCATTCATCCTGGTTCTTGAGTTCTTCTCCGCCGCCCAAATTCCGGGTGCTGGAAGAGATGGCGGCTGGGCTGTGCTGGGAATCGGGAGGCATTTTCGAGACGCACTCCCCCCTGCTGCTGCTGGCCGAGTCTGGTGGGAAAATGGGAGGTTTGGGAGGGCTGTTCTTTCCCCCTTCTCGGAGGTCTGTCCCGTCTCCTCCTCCCGCCAAGGAGGAGCTGCTGCTGAGGGCGAGGATGTTGGCCGTGGTGGTAGAGATCTTCCCAACCTCGTTGGCTTCCATGGGGTCCTCTTTGCTCTCCGAGTCGCTTTCGACATCGCTGGGACACAGATCTGAGAAGAGGAAGAGAGAGACGGTGGAAAAAGAAGGAAAGGACACCATGGGGAAAGGCGTCCCACAAGAGATTCCTCAGACGAGGTGGCCGCCTTCCTTTCTTCTCCCCACTACTGAGAACAAAACTTCCTTAACTCCATTGAGTAGGTCAGATGGAGTCCTGTGCTTATAGTTCAGTTTTCTTCTGGAAGTCATCCAGATTTTTTTCCCCAACTCCAACTCGAGATTCTGATCTAATTTTCACTGAAGTTTGATCTACTTTGGCCTTGGAACCATGTCCGTCTAATCCAGAAGAGGGGCTGGAGAGAGATTTCACCTCACTATTTTCTAGGTATTTTCTTAAAAACAAACTAAGAAACAAATAAATCCTGGCTAACCCACAGGCGTAGAAAACGGTGCTAAACAAATCATAATTAGCCTGGCTCCTTCAGGGTTTCATGAATCATAGCTTATCCTGACCCTTTAGTTCTGGTTTATGGAATTAATGTCTAGGGAGATTCTCAGTCATCCAGGTCATGGTTGTCCCAAAGGTGCTTTTTTCGAGAGGCGGCTGGACTTCCTGTTTTTTTTCCTTTGAAGAGGTTTCGCTTCTCATCCAAGAAGCTTCTTCAGTTCTCAGTTCAGTTCTCCTTCAGAGCCGAAGAAGCTTCTTGGATGAGAAGTGAAATGTCTTCAAAGAAAAACCAGAAAGTCCAGCTGCCTCTTGGGGGGGGGGGAGGCACCTTTGGGACATTGATGGAATTAACTATCTTCTTATTTTTATAATAAACTTCCCTCTGAAGGGTGTGAAGTTGAAGGACAGAGAAAGAATAGCATGAATTCTCCAATGTCTATCCCTGGTTTTATCAGGCCTCTGGTGATGTCTTTTCTTTCCATCGGCAGCAAGAATCATGAACTTGGAATTTTTGGGCGGTGTTTGCTGCACACCCTCACAAACACACACACAAACACACACACAAACACACTGAGCCAATGTTCAAACTTGAAAAAAAAACAACCACGAGTGTATCAACTAAAAAGGGCATTCCTTCCTACAATAAGCCTAGCAAAATCAGAGCAAGCCACGGGGAAATGCGCAGCCCTCTGGGACACCAGCTTTGGAGTACAGATAGTCCTTGACTCACAGCCACAATGGAGCCAAGGTTTCTGTTGCTAAGCAAGACCGCTGTTAAGTGAGTCTTGTCCCATTTTACGACCTTTCTTGCCACCGGGGTTCAGGGAATTGCTGTGGTTGTCAAGTCAGTCACACGGTTGTTAAGCAGATGGAGGGGGACACACACACACACACACTGCAATCATCATAAGTACAAGTCAGTTTGCCAAGCACCTGAATTTGAATCAAGCTGCTAAGGAGATTCTGCAAGGATTGTAAGTGTTAAAAAAAAAAGGCCATCAATCACTTTTTTTTCAGTGCAGCTGTAACTCGGAACAGTCCTTAAATGAAGCTGCAGACCTAAATCTCTGAACCTGACCACCTTTTAGCTCCCATTCCAGACCAAATATCCCTGACAGATCAAGATTTCCTTGCCCTTCATCCTTTGCATCCAGGTGAAGTTGAGAAGGGAAGCGGGGGGGGGGGGGGGGGGAGGATGTTTGCAGTGATTTTAAGCTTTCCCTGGGCGTTTCGAAAATTCCCAATTAATGGAAAAGTCGCAGTTTCAGCCCACGTGGGTTTGTCTGTATTCAAACCATGGATAAAATATAAATAAATAAGGGAGAGAGGCAAAATGAAATGTTAAAGATCCGGAGTGTTTTCCGAGATTCAGTGTTTTTTTTTTTTAAATGACCCACGTTAGTAGGAAAGCAACTGCTCATCAATAGGAGGGTAGGAGAGCTCGCTCTTACTCCAGTGTGGAAACCGAGAGGGGGAAAACAGCTCACCTTTAAGGTTAGAGGTACCCACGGTGGACACAGCTGGAGATGTGGACTGAGCAAAGCATTTAAACGCTGTTTGCTCGCTGGAGGACTCATCCGAAGTCTCTTTCTTCTGCCTTTCCTCGTAAACTCTCATAGACTGAAGAGTCAGCTGTTTCCTAGGGAGAGAAAAGAAAAGAAAATGGGATTAATTTTGGTGGGATGGCTTCATCAAACATGCAAAGCGTCCTTGGTTTAGCCAGGTTAAAAATAAAATAAAAAAACAAACAAATATTTCTTATGCTCCTAGACGGGGATGTTAGTCAGGTGTGGTCCAACCTGCCACAGCTTCACACACAGCACACTAACCCATAAAGCGTGGCTGGTTTGGACCACAACATCTGGAATCACCAGCTGCCTTATAGCCAAAACCAATCAATTCCATTAAAGGCTGACCAAGGAAACTTCCTTTTCTCTGTAAATTCCAACCTACCATAGCTTAAGTCAAGTCAACCAAAATGTTTAGAGAAATCAAGTCATCCAAAAGTTGTATTTTAGAATGGTTAAGGACAGCCCATTCTCAAATACAATTTTTGGCTGGCTTGAAGATATCTTACAGGTAGTCCTCTGTATATGACCGTTCGCTTAGGGACCATTCGGAGTTACAATGGCACCAGGGGAAAAAAAAGTTTTTCACACTTATGTGGTTTACATTCAGATGCTTAGCAATGGGCTCACATTTATGACCGTCAGGGTGTCCTGGGGTCACGTGATTCCCCCTTTTTTACGACAAGCAAATTCAATGGGGAAGCCAGGTTCACTTAACAACCACCTGACTGGCTTAATAACTGTGGCGATCCGCTTAACACATGTGGCAAGAAAACAGGACAAAACCCCGCAAATGTCTCACTGAGCAACATACATTCTGTGCTCGATTGTGGTCATTAAGCCGAGGACCACCTGTACTAAGGATAACATAAATTTGAGGAAACAACCTTGTTCCCAGGGCTGATACCACCACAGTAGGATGAAGCTCTCAAAGCACATTCAGACTTTTAAATATTTGGGATTACCAATCTCATTCTGCTTTGTTATTGGCCATTCTGGTTTCAACTGATGGAAACTGGAGCCTCAATTACCCAGAGGTCTATTTTCATCTTAAATGGTTGAAGCACATCAAGCAATTGTCACACTAAATCTTTTGCAGCACTCTCTATGGCTTTGCTTGCATGCTGCCTTCATCCATGCTTAATTAAAGCATCTTTTATCTCATTAACTCCGCTTTTTAAAAAACACACATACACAACATCCTACTAAGCCTTTAATTGATTACACAGACTGAGTTTGGACGGACTAAAAATGCAGTTGGCCAGTTTTGCATCCAGGTATCTAAAAAGCTGAATTCCCACAGCACGTTTAACCTTAATTTGTTGAACTTAAACTAGCCAAGCAGAATGAGTTCACAACAACCCAAGCATCGGAAAAAACATAGTTTAAGAGCAACCATGTTTAGCTACGCATTTGCAGCTTCTAATTAGCCATTTTGGGTAAACACGGCCTGCAAGGTTTAAAATAGCGCAAATCCGGGACGGTGGATTGAATCAATCAAAACATATGGAAATCAGGCCATTGAGGATTTAGGTTTATTTGTTTTGGTGGAGGGAGATGCAAATTTTAAAAGAGGCAGAGTAATCCCTAACCAACAGACTGTTTAAAACATCCAGGAGATATCTGCTGTCTGAATAACTTCAAGAAAAGAACTCTTGTTTAACACTTGAATGCAAATGTTGATTCTCTTATGGCCTATGAAAACCTTGCCTTCTCTTGCTCCTCTTATTCACATCCTCCTTGTCAATATTTCAATCATCCCTACTGCTTCTTGAGACCCAATCTGTAAAGAAACGCAGCCCGAATGCAGGATTAAAATAAGTCAATAAATAAAATTTGGAAAGGAGGGAGCAAGGAAGACCTTACAAAGTCCATGTTAAGGACTCTTCCACTTTTCACTAAAAACACAGAATACATAATTCTTGCTTTAGAAGCAAAGAAACAAACACACACACAAAAGAATTGGAATTTTTTAAAAGAATGTATGTATGTATGTATGTATGTATGTATGTATATATATATGTGTTGTGTGTATGTGTGTGTGTTGTAAACACAATCTATTTTGTAAGCACAGTATTTTCACAGCGATTGGGACCCTAGACAATGTATAGAAGCTGCTAGAAGCAGATAGATGTGAGTTTTCCCCTCCTTTTCTTTTCGCCACGCCACTTATCCTAAATCTTACCAGGAGATAAATAAATGTTATTTGTGATTTCCTACTTCCCAGTTTTGATGGAGACTGGAGTTTCTTCTTTGAAAGAAACTCCCAGACTTTACCATCAAAATCTGTTAAAAGTCCTTCAAAATCAGTTTGCCTATCTATTGTGGTCTATCATTTTCTGTTTCTGCCTTTGTCATTTCACTAATAGGGACCACATGTCGTAAACTATACATTTACACTTGGCAGAGAGTTTCTCCTTTGAGTAGCACCAAAGAAAATGTTGCACGTTGTCAAACTTTAAAAGTTTTTTTTTTTAAACCAAACTTTCCAATCCATCTTTTCACCTCCTGTTCACAATACCACAATTGGCTATTTTGTGGAGGGTAGGAACTGAAAAGAAAGACGATTTCTGTTTTTATTTTATTTTATTTTAATGGACTTTGGGGCAGCTTCTTCTGATGCATCCGCAAAAAATGAAAATTGAAATGTACGTGTTCGTCTTACCTCTTTTCTCGCCTTCCATTCCCCGTGTCCCGGAAGCCTTTGGCAAAAGGGTTGTTGTCGATTTTTAACTGGGTGATCTGGTAAAAGAAAGACAGAGAAAGAAATGGTCATATTTGTCCCGACTTGGATTCTTAGGAAAGAAAAGATTCTCGACTTCATTTGTGTCTATGTTTTAGACTGACGTTATCTCCTTATTGTCCACTTATAGTTCAAAGATTTGTTCTGCTAGCTAAAGCATTGGTGATCAAATTGGTGCATTGCTGTTGCATTTCTGCCCTCTGTAGAACAATTTAAGAGCTTAGCAAAAGAGATCAGGACTTAAACCTTGAGTTCAGACATGGGGTGACTTTTAAGAGTACAGAATGATTCTGAGGTCTGCCACACAAAAGATAACCGGAAAGGGGAGGGGGGAAATCCATAGAGGAGTGGGGCAAAAAAAACCCTCCTGATTTATTCAAACCAAACATTGCCTACTTCTCCTTTTAAAAAAAACCCTCAAGATCCCAGAAAAAAGCTTCTATCCAGATCTCTGCCGAAATAAAAAGGAGAGGCTTACGGGATCTCAGAAGCAGGCCGGCATGTTTTTTTTTTTTTTTTTAAATTGCTTTATAGTTCCTG